AAAGTCTAGATTCCAAGAGAAAATACTTTTGACTTCATGTTTAGTTTTGATTGGTTTTACTAAGTAAGGGGAAACTTCATTGGTTAGACTAAGTCTAATGTTGACTTAGTGGCAAGTGGAGTTTGTAGAAGTTGGAAAGTTACAAATGGCATGTCGCGACCTCAATCTAGGGATTAGTAAACATCTAGAATATTTAGGAGGCTAGTGGCATGTTGCCACATATTGAAAACTAGTCAACTTTACTATGGTTTATCTTTGTAAAAGTAAGTTAGGTAGGAAGTACCATTTGTTACTATGGTAAATTTTCAAGTAGTATATATAGAGAGGTAGGGAAGAGACTTTTAAGCAAGTTTGGAGAGGTCATATGTAGAGACTTGTTTCATATATGAAAGAGTGACGAATTTTCAATACCTTGAAGTGTGTATGTGAAGATGTATGTGTGACTTGGAGTGATACCTTATGAAATTGTGTGAGAGGGTGTTTGGGCTATGAGTATGAGGAGTAATCATAATCTTCTAGAATCATGATGAGTTATTGAAAAGCCATCGGAGGTAAACATCAATGAGAGTCAGCCCGGAAGTTGCAGCCCAAATGAATATAACATATCAAAAGAGATCAAGTTCTTTCTCATATCAAGTATTTATCTAACTTGGATCAATATACATTTTACTCCATTAAACATGCAAATCTTCACTAGTACAACACCTTCAATACTACAGAGTTGATCATTCCCCATAAAACCTCATCTGTCTAATCTTCAAAAAGTAGAAAAGAATTATCTAATGTAATAAATGTGATAAGAACAAGTACCTTTAAAAATCCATACATCATCAACAACTTTTGATGAATCGCATCGAACATACGTCCGGCTTCATAAGCCATACTGCAGCATCTCAAGGTCAAAGTGTTCAGTAACATTTGCCAACGGAGGGGCAACTGCGTCTTTCATCTTCAACTGACATTCCTTATTGATGTGTCCACTCTCGTCACATCTCCAATAAATTACCGTCTTCATTTAAGGGATCTTATTCATGGACTTAGAACCTTTAGATCCAACACGGTTTTCATCCTTGTCATACTTTGAAAGTGACCAACCTCGGATCACATTGAAGTGGATAGGCAAGATGATGCCATCATTTTCAACTACACGTGATCTATCAATAGAACATTTACAACATCTTTGTAAGTGATATTTCTATCACAAGGGAGAAGTGTATGTGATAACTTCAGGTACAATGACGGCAACAAACTGAAAAAATGAAAAGACTTTTTTCCCATCTAAAATTTTCTTGCTCAAATTTTGAAGATCTATCACCAGATCATCAAATACAATATTGGATTCTAGTCCCAAATCTTTCATGTTGAAGATTGCAAGTCTACACGATTTGATTTTAGCTTTGGAAAGACTGAGTTGCATAAGGGTGCGTGCCTGCGCATACACAACCGAACACCTTTGAGAAAACACGTGCAACTGTTGCTGGAAAAACAAGAAATTCAATCGCCTAAATCTTAAGTCCACAGTCTTGCACAGACGGAAGATTGCTGTTAATCTTTCAAATCACAATATCGAACGTCATGCGTTAGCGTTCAACTTGCTCGTTTGATGCACACAAATGAAAATTGTTGAAGTTGGATACTTTATCCCTGCAGTGCAGACATCAAGTTCTTGGAACTATATAAAAAATCTTGCAAATTAGCACATTGTGGCATGAAAACTTTGAACTTGCTCGGTTGATGCACACAAATGAAAATTGTTGAAGTTGGATACTTTATCCCTGCAGTGCAGACATCAAGTTCTTGGAACTATATTAAAAATCTTGCAAATTAGCACATTGTGGCATGAAAACTTTGAACTTGACGATCAAACAAAGACATGAGATTGATTTTGTTCATGAGTTTTGAAATCAACCAAAACCAAAAAAAGCCAAAAAAAATATCTGTCTTATAGTTTTGCTAATGACTATAACTGCCAAGTCCAATTTTTTCTATGTCTTTAGTCCACTTTTTTCAATTTGCGGAACTCAAATACCAATTGTGGTATTTGAGTTTCGCCAAAAAAAGTAACTGACAATAGGATAGTAGTAACAAACTTTAAACACACGAGACACAAGCTTTTAAAGTGGTTCATTCAAGGGCTACGTCCACAAAACAAGCATCACATAATGAGTATGCATAGCATTATAGAGCCGGGAGGTTCAAATATCCAAGGGAGGTTCAAATAGCCGGGAGGTTCAAATATCCAAGGTTCACATGGTTATCTCAATAATAACCCAAGTTAATCCGAAAGCTGAGTTAATCCAACATAAAATAAATATTCAACTTCTAGTATAATTTTTTATATTAATTTATTTCTCAGAATTAACAATTCTAACTTACTCAAATAAATCTGATTTATTAAAAAAATATGTACCAATAAATTTAATTCTAAAAATCAATTTACATGTGATTGAATATTATAATCTAAACAAATTGAAAGAGATTATTATATTGTTGAAATTAGAATCTTAAAAGGAACAAAAATTGATAAACAATTTTGTAAATTTTTTACGTTCAAGATTAGATAATAAATATGAGTTATTATTATTTATTTGAAATAAAAATAATTAATAATTTATTAATTATTTTAACTCAATGCACATATGATAAATTTGATTGATTCAACATAATTATCTTTTGTTTCAACAAAATTTTCACTTACATGTTTATCAATAATTATATGATTTGAAGTTATAAACTTGTTGAAAAATGTCTATTGATTTGATCTTAAATCTACTTATTTTTTAACCGTCTAAAGCACCGAAGAAAAATCAATCAAATCAAATTTTTTTCATATTCTCGTATTTATTAGAATAAAAAAAATTGTAAGTTTGTGTAAGAAAAATCTTTCAATTTATTATCATAATCGTTGAAAAAAATACATTGAAAAAATCTTATGAATCTAAAAATAGGATCATAAAATTTGTAAGTATAAAATGAAGACTAATAAAAAATAGAAATGGAAGGTAGCAAGAAAATAATGTGATGATTTTTTCTATACGTTTATTCCAAAAATTAGCTGACAATTGGCTGAATTCAATTGAATATTGAGATTATAAGCTTTTATATTGATATCATAAATTTTATATTAAAAATATTTAAACTTTCTTCATACAACTAATCTCAAGCTGCAATGTACAATGTGAAATGAAATGCACTCAATGCAATCCATGATGTAGAACAAAATTAGGTGTAGTGTTCGTTCAGGGTTTCAACCTCCCAAAGGTTTGAAAAGTAGTGTACAATTTAGCAGCAAAGTCATTGAAAATACTACAACATTGAATTGATGAACAAATTAATTTATAAACAAATTATAGATTCGATTGAAAAATATTATTCGATACAATATATGCTCCTAATTGAACGTTGTGTCAAAAAATTTCATAATTCAATATATCTCCTAAAATATGTTAAGGAAATGCAAAAAGTTTCGGATAATATCGAAGCCAGCCAACTAGAAAAGTGGAATAGTGCACAAAAAGGAGAAGTCTGAAGGAAGCAGATAATTCTGACCTGGAAATGTAGCTGATTGGCGTAGTTTAGCATGTAATGGATTGTGAAGAGGTGCAGTGACATCTGAGGCCAGTGCGGTGCAGGTACACTCTGATGGAGCTTGCGTGTTGCAGATGTGCAAGGGATGGCCTGCAGAATTGTGAAGATAGATGGTGCGGGCCTTCTTTCTCATTGACTGCACGATCTAGCTTGAATATAAAAGTATCGATTTAGCGTAACTGTACTCTTCCGCCTTTACACGTCATCCATACTCTGTGGCACTGTGCTGAAGAAAGAAGAGAATGACTCTGGAACTAAATATGTAGATCAAGGCAATTACACCAATCTGCAAGTTCACGTTCAGAGATTCGTGAGGATCAGTGCGAATGAAGAACGAATCATGGCATCTCATGGAGCAAGTTCGTTGTCAGTCTTCCGGACAGTATTCATTCTTCTGAAGAATGCTTATTGACATTGTTCGAATGTGCCATAATGCTTTGAATATACAGCCTCATCGTCTGGAAGCCTCAACTTTAAATGGCCTGAGTGGGTATTTTTTGATCAATCAAAGAACGGAGTTTCTAGTACTCCGTACCATCATCTGAAAAAGAAATACTTCCGAGGAGTCTCGTCGATTTTTTCATTCTTTATCAAAACCGCGAGATGCTTTTTGAAATACAATGTATCTTCTGGTAGCGAGAAAATTGATCAACCTTGTGCCACTCCTCCATCACCTGAATACTAGCAAGCTCATATGAGTTCCACATATACAAATTATGTCCTAACAACGAGGTGCCAATGGATATGACCTCTCATGGAACCCACGCAAACATTGCTCAACAGCATAAAGATATCTCCATCAGAAGCATATGGCCTAATCCCGACTGACATCATTCTCGCTTCAACCTTCGTTCTAGTCTCTAACGTTCTCGTTATTAATCGAAAGTGAACGGTAAAAGATTACAAGATTTTCAAGTACGAGGCCTTCGTTGTCCTGAGTCAAGAAACTTCCAACCGAACTGTCCTCTGGCTAACGACACCAAGAAACTGTGGAACCATCGACTCCAAGTACTGTACCTAATGTGAACCCCGAGATCTTATTGCTAGACCAGTTCAAGTAGTGTGAAATTATCCTTCTAAATCCTCTGCGTCGACTCAGCTCACTCGTTCCCTCCGTAGAGAAGACCGATTTCAATCGGGCAGGTTGTAATAAACCTCATGTTATCTTTTATTTCATCAATGGGTTTAGGAAACTGTATTGTCTCTTCTCACAGATCGAAGTTGACGCTTAACTCTTATTCTCGTCTGTTGCATTCATCTTCAACAGCATACCGGAAAATGTATACAAACCAAGAATTTAAACAAACATTCACCATACCGCTCAGCCTACCTGTCTCTCTTATCTGTCTCTAAGACAGGCATGAGGCAAGGTATGGACCTTGCCTCATGCCTGTCTTGATACTCGATCTGAGATATTGTGGGAATTTAGTAAAGAGCGCCTCTTGCAAGTTCCTTGACGATTGTAATGATACACAGGGGAAGGAATGTTTGCAATTCCACAACGTTACAATCGCTAGATGACAATCTTCCATAGCCGGATCGCCGAGCCTTCAAATTCAATGACAAGACACGGGGATTTGGAATGCTGGCCGGAACGAAGCGTGTACGATCGTAAAGGCTCCTCGACTTGGACAGAAATGAAATGATCTGGACTCTAAACTGACCCCGGGCCAACGAGGCAGATTGTGCAAGCTTCCAGAAAGTTCTGGAGCGCGATAACGGCGACTTCCCCGCTCAATTTTGACGATTTAAACTTTTGACATGGACATGGCTGTCCGTGCAGTCGAACGTTCCTCCGTTACGGATTCAGTGGCTTGTGTAACGGGGGCTCGAATGCATGCATGCATGCGTGGCATGTCACTCGTCGGTTTACCTGCCGGGTACGAGGTCTCAACCCGTAGTTGATCTGGAGGGCCGGCAACAGGACAGTAAAAAGACGGGCTCGTTGCGAACTCCGATCAGGCTTCGAAAGCAATGTCCAAAGCAGCCCGAATGCTTCGGGGAGAAACCGCCACGTTGGATCCAGGCAGCAAGTGGCCAAAATTGGGATTCGGAATCAGGCTTCGTGGAGCTGACGTAGCCAAGATTTGCAGACACAAGAAGACGGAAAGGTTCAGTTGGCCTGAGCTTCGCACAAACTTCGACGGCTTGTTTCTGTTTCGTGCAGAGCTTGAAGGGAGCAACCGTTTGGATTGTAGGCAAGCTCGAAAACTGCGAGGCTCGTCTCTTCCCCACAGTCATTGAGACTAGGAGATGCTCACACTGAGAGCCAAATGTGATCGGGTTCGATATTAGTTCAGAGGTCTGGACACGGGGATGGACGAGTGATCCTGGTGGCAGAGTACGCATTGTTCCGTCCGTGTTCGAGGCCGGAGGGGGATTTCCATGGCTGGATTATTCGGTCTGCAGATTTTACACAGTTGAAGGGAATTTCGCCTGTGTCAGTCACTAGCATTTGAGCTCCCAGAGTCAGAAGTGGGACTCTGCGCTGGCGAGAATGGTCAGTCATGGTGCGGCAACCGCTGCCACAAGAACAGCAGGGCTACTCGTACTCGTGGTGATAAGAAGTGTGGTAGCGGGCAAGTACAACACCGGAGCGGAGCCCGTGACAGGAAAGCTGAACGTGCACTTCGTGGCACACAGCCACGACGACGTTGGATGGCTCAAGACAGTTGATCAATACTATGTAGGCTTTCGTAACGAAATTCACGCAAATCCAGGATGTCCTCGATGAAATAAACGTTCGATCTCCCACGCCTTTCATCTCATTATCTGCATAGTCCAATGTCAGTTATTAGGTGTTCGCCTCATCCGCATGTTCAATTCAACCATCTGGCATTCTAGAAGTTTACTCGTTGAGTTTTCATGATGCAGGAAGCATCTGTGAGGGACATCCTCACGACAGTAACGACAGAGCTGGAAGCTAATTCCGATCGAATTTATAATCAAGTTGAGACGGTGCGTTGTCTGTGATCGAAAGGCTTCAGTGGAATAGTGAGCCATTTTTTCCGGATGTTCAGACTTCCCTCGACATCACCAACATTTAGGAATCGGAAATTTTAAATCGGAACCCTGTCGTTACAACAGTGATCAGAGAAGATGGAAGTTTCCATCCACTTCTACGAATAATTCCATCATTTTTGTTTACCTGCCCACAGTTGGGTCCGAACGAACAAAAATAACTTCACCTAGACGTGAAGGTGATGATCTTGTTGCAGTATTATGCAATGATGTATTCCGAACCGAGTGCCTGGAGATCATCTTTGCCGGATTGTCATATGTGGTCGGCAGCCAGTTGCAAATCGCGAAATAAGCGGTACCTGTCTCCCGGGTTATCATGAGAAGTACACCAAAATATTGCAATGGCGAGGAATAGTTTGCTTGATCCTAACCGCGAGATCCCTGGATATGGCAGGGGTTTACCGGTTTAGCAAACTTGCTGAATCCGATTATGTTGCTTCATCAGATGCATAGGCTTCCATGAAGTCGAGGCACTGTTGGAGAGCAATGCAGCAGGCTCGCTCGTCTAGCATCCACGTGGTTCAGAACTTATTACGAACTATGTTCTGGACCCAATAGATTGTAAATGACCTCCTAACATGGCTTTCTGTTGGCTCTTCCTTCACCATTTACCAGCCAACTTTACAACAACTTGACAAACAGTTCTCTGGTTTTGTCTGTTTCCGTTCAGTACCTTCTAGTCCCAACATATTCACTTGCTCAGTTCACATCATTTGATGATTTTGATTTTCCAGATGATCACCAGACTTGACTCAACAGACGCTGCAGCTAGAAAAGAACATCAAATGTATTTGCATGGAATGCTAACTACCTGGAGTCTCAGCCTTCTCGATTTCATTTTGCTATCTAGTGCATTTTTGTTGAGATGATTATGAGCCAAATGAACGACTTAATTTTGTTAACTGCTTTTCAAACAAAACCAAGTCATTCATTTTGCAGGCATTCTTTGCACGCTGGTGGAGGGAACAATCGGAAGATAAAAAAGCCAGAGTGAAGAAACTCATTGCAGATGGCCAGCTTGACTTCATGTAAGTAACATAAGCTCAACTGAAGACTCGTCCACTGTCTAATGTGAATATGACTTTCTACCTGTACTGAAATACTTCGAGTAGCCCTTGCTGTTGCTTGGTACTGTTGTGCTTCAACTCTGAACCAAGGTTCTGACCCGTGCTAGTTGTGGGGCATTTTCAGCAATGGCGGGTGGTGTATGCATGATGAAGCAGCCACGCACTACCTCGATATGATTGATCAGACGACATTTGGGCACCTGTACTTGAAGCGAGAGCTCGGGGTCATCCCCAAGCATGGCTGGCAGATAGATCCGTTTGGACATTCCGCCGTTCAAGCATACCTTCTCGGAGCCGAGGTGGAAATCTGCACTCCATTTGGTTTCCAGTTCTCTTCCTGATTGTTAATTGTTCAGATTTTCCAGCTTAACATTATGGGCTCAAGAATCTGCAAACTTCGTGTTTGGCCCACCTACAGCCTGCTATTCTCAAAATTATTTTGAAACTGCTAGGTCAGAGCACGAACGAAGTTTGCACACTCATCAACTTGGCGAAAGAGTAATTTCACCAGAGATAGCTGCTGTAAATAGCATAGACGCTGTCAATTCTAGCGTAAGAACTTCTTCAACCTCCTTCGCTGGAGTTTAGATGTCTTATCTCAACGTCACTGATAGCTAAAGTGAATGTGGAATGATGTGTAGCTTGGGTTCGAGAGCATGTATGCTGCACGAATAGACTACCAGGAGAAGAAAGTGAGACATGCGGACAAGACCCTGGAGATGATATGGCGAGCTTCAGACACATTGGGGTCAACTGCAGACGTATGAAGCAGATCTTATGTTTCAAACCCTCTGGGTCATCTTGATTGCAGTCTAAATCTTAGTAACAGATCAGTATGAAATCTTCAGCTCTTTGGGACTTTTTCTTCTTTTCAGATTGTAATCTAATAGCTCTATGCATTTTATTCGTGTTCACAGATATTTTATGGAGTATTCCCCGTGCATTACAGCCCGCCCGACACTTTTGATCTTGAGCCAAGAGATCAGGACTATTTTCCTGTTCAGGTACAGTTTGAAGTTCAGCACACTCTCACAAAGTTTGCCGTCTTGTTACCCATAATCAGTTTCTTGCTTTCAGAAATTGCGCCCACAGACTTTGAGATAGTTGTGGCACCATTCCTAGGATGACGAAAGCATTGAAGGATACAACGTCGATGAACGTGTTGATGAACTGGTTCAAGCCGCCACAACGCAGGTAAGACTGCTTGTTCATCTCGACGAATAGGACTGGAGCCTCCTGTGAGATGTGAACTCTTAGTGACACTAGGACATTAGGACATTGCTCGATCTGAACAGCAAGAGCAGATATTTTCTTCTATTGTTTCTGATGAACGGATTTTGGAGATTCTCTGCTGCAGGCTGCATTAACTCGTACAGAGCACATCATGTGGACCATGGGGAATGATTTCACGTATCAAAATGCAGTCACTTGGTTTGAAAATATGGACAAACTCATTCACTATGCCAACCTGGTAAGCAAGAGTCAAAGTTTTCACTTTGTTCATTTTTAATTTCCACCAAAGTTGAAATTAAGACGGTCATCTGCTCATCTGATGTAACCCAAAATGAATGAAAGTGTCCATGTTCCCACATCCATTGTTCTAGTTGTCAACGAGTCTGACGGAAAAAATGGCAATTCCTGTCGAACCAGGATGGCCGTGTCAATGTCTTTTACTCGAATCCATCAAAATATCTCGAAGCTAAGATGGCGGCAAACCAATCATGGCCTATGAAGACCGGTGACTTTTTCCCGTAAGTCCTTGCAGCTTAGGAAAATCATGATACTGGTTGCCTTCTACTTACTCTTAATATGCTCACAAGCAAGGAGTTCTCTGCTTCAACACATTTTCTCTCCCGTCATTTCAATACTTTTCTGTCGATGAAACATTTTTAGTAACATAGCTATGTCTCGTTCTCAGCTACGCAGATTCTGCTCTTACTTTTTGGACTGGGTACTTCACCAGTAGAGCTGCACTGAAAGGCTACGTCAGGAAACTGAGCGGATTCCTTCAAGTAAAGAGTTTCTTCTCAAGACTGTTTCTTTCTCCTTTGGTTTCAATGACAGCACGAGCAATATGAGCTCGGGTTTACCAAGAACTTAGTATATATGTTGTCTTGCGTAGGCTGCGAAACAGCTTGAATTCTGTGTGGGCAGATCCGCAACACATTCAACCGATTTGTTGCAAGACGCCATGGCAACTGTGCAACATCATGATGGAGTAAGCGGCACGGCGAAGCAGCACGTAACAGATGATTACATAAGAAGACTTTTTCAAGGAGCAGTAGCGGTGATTAACTTGCCCAAACAAACCGTTTCCTACATCCACTGGAGATCTGGAGTTGTAGACGTAGTCTACCCATAAATAGTATAACACTTCTCGTAAGCACGGTATTTCGTGGTGATTTACAATCCTTGGCACCATGGCCCTGTTGATTCCTCTCCAAGCTTCAGCACCAATTCTCTTATTTGCAAAGGGAATGAATGCTCTCGAACTTGCAATATTTTTCAGCACAAACTTGTCACCTCCATGAACAGGCAGAAGCTGTAGTCAACTCAGCATTAGGCTGTTTGAGTAGTGGCGCTGATTGCAAAAGCAACAGCAGGGATGCTACGATTAAGCAGGTAAGTTGACCAGGAAGCTGAGTCCCTATCCGATTATCACAATCAACTCTTTCTGTTACCTCATGTGCTGAACACTTACAATTAGGAACTTATTCAGATATGACTCATGTTGAAACGATATGCTCAGATATACTGAATTTCGTTTGCGCCTAACCTATATCCGCAGTGCCCATTCCTGAACATCACGTACTGTGCGGCTTCTGAAGCACCGCTACATGCCCAAAAACTGGTGAGTTACTACTGTCTACAAGTGCTGACATTCACCGTATGAGATCATTTTCACTCAGCAGAAGATGACAGTTACTCTAATACTGTTATTGATTTCATGCAGGTGGTGGTTGCTTATAACCCCCTTGCATGGGCACGAACTGAGTATGTTCGCCTCGTGGTAAGTCCTATCTTCGCGGAGGATAAGTGCCAGTGGGGTTTTTTTCATGAATCTGCAGACACTTAACCAGAGTATACGAGTTTTCATCTTTTCATTGTTCCATCTTTGTATAAAGAGCAGACGAAAGTCGCTCCATCTGCTCCATGTTCTCGTAGGCTTCATTATCTAAAAATCTCTTTGTTATATGTCCAGGTTACCCATACTAGATTGGCAGTGCTAGATTCTTCTGGCAAGGAAATTGTTTCTCAAATCATACCAGTTACTGTTGTCGAGAGAAAAGTCAGAAGTTTCTATGTTGAGGCGGAGTTGGGAATCAAGACCAGCGATAGAGATCTTTATTGGCTTGTGTTTGAAGCATCAGTACCTCCTCTTGGCTATACCTCGTATGTTGTCCAGCCTTCAGAAGAGGGTAAGTTAGAGAAATAGCAACTTTTGTAGGATTTTATTGAACATCGAACTGTGCCAGTCTTTTTCGACTCACTCGAATATTCTGAGACTCATGGGATATGGACAATAAGATTGGTGTGATGACTTCCCCAGGAGCGGCGGAAATCTCCAAACCTGAGATCTTGGAACTGGAGAAATCAGGGTTGAAACCCAAGGCAGTAAAGGCTGGAGGCGAGAATATGAACCTACTCTTCTCTTCAGAAAGCGGCAGGCTCTTGGAAATGGTGCATCTGAAGACCAAAGTAAACATCCATATCTTTCCACTGAGTCTTTTTCCTTGATAGGACTTGCTCCAAAACTCGTGAGGATAGTTGCTTCTATAAATTTGAAGAACTCTGGGAGGTTTCAAAGTCTCAGATCATGGGTAATGTTGAGGTATCGAGTCCAGTGTAGTCTCTAACATCGTTAACTGAACATTCGTTCGCAGCCAACAAGCAAAATTGTAGTTTTTCTAACAAGAAACCGGGGTGGTCTCCTACGTGTATTCTGTTGGGATTTTCAGACCAGCACATTCGTGAGGCAATCGAATATGTACTATGTTGCCGATGCTGGAGAGGATGGCCAGGTAGAAGACCACAACTTAAATTGAACTTTTTTATCAACTCTGTGCCTTTATCCAGACCTGTGCTGCATGAAGGTGGCAGACCAGCAGAAGCTCATGTGGCTGTTGGTTTGATAGGCATCTGGAGCTTATATCTTCAGACCAGCAGATGATACTCCTAGACCGATGACTAAATCAGCTGAGGTAAGGCGATGTGCGCCTCCCAAATATGATGATGGCATCTCCAATCTCGCACAATCTGAACTTTTTCATTCTGAAAAAAAAACTCTTTAAAAAATAAAAAAATAAAAACGCTAAAGGGTGCCTATTTTAGCATCCAAATACAGACGAGTCTTAAAACTTCTGTGACTAAGGCCGCCCATTATATTCAAAGCTGAAATTTAGTGAAACTTTTAGAGACTAATGAGGAAAATGAGATCAAATAGCTCAGAGACTGAGTTTGGGTAATTATAAACCATAAATCCTATATTTTCTTTCTCCTCTTGAGAGCATTTCTTGGCCTGAGTAAAGTTGCCCTTACAGGCACTTCATACCACTGCATTGCCCTGATGTGGAAGCAACCATGTCCCCAGCTGATAACCTACGAGTTTTGAAAATTTAGAAGCTCAGTGTCTTCCTCCAGATGAGACTGATTATACTATATGGAAAAGAGAGCCCGGGCTAAGAAAATGCCACCTAATAATTTGACTTATCTGTGGGAGTCTATATTATTCATACATACATCATGGATTTTATGGGCAGGTTCCTAGAACAACATTCTTCCGAGGTGCCGTGGTAGACGAGGTCCACCAGATTATATCTCCTTGGTTTTCCCAGGTATATACTATCTTCTGAAGAACATCTTCGAGCTTGCAGATATTGCTTTGTGAAAGAGCTCGCTTTAAGGTTCTTCTAGTTTGCATAGATATGCTACCACTCTGTGAACATGGTTGACCAGTCAATTTGAGAATCTAGTACTGAACAATCGTATTCAGAACTCCCACTCATGCTTTTACTTCGTTATCCTTTGGTCTAATTCACAACACTTTATTCTCCAACTCATTCAAAGCCGCTCTTGGGAATCGGGTTGGCGATAACTACACAGGTTTTTAGACAATACAAGGGGCAGGAACATGCAGAAGTCGAGTTCACGGTATCGCTCATCAAAATATTCTCCTCTCGAATTCGTTATTGAGTTCATTGCTCCTTCGGTTTATTACTACACACTTTGATTCTACTTGAATACAGTGAATGGATCCTACATTTAAAACCTCTCTTCCTTCCTGTAACAAAGAGTCAAGCCCATGGTGTGCATGGTTTTCACTATCTATCAGTCAAGTACAAGGTGGGATCTCGCTTAAAGTGGTAATCTATAGAAACGCAGCGCAGAGATTATACTTAGTTCAGCCTACTTACTGAGCTATATTTCTACGAGCTCTCTATATCAGGTTGGGCCCGTTCCCGTCGATGGTGAAGGGGGAAAGGAAGTTATTGCAAGATTTGACACATCGATAAAGAGCGAGAGGAATGTGTTCACTGATTCCAACGGTCGAGATTTCATCAAACGGGTTAGAGTTCGCATTGAAATCCAACAGTCTTACCACCAATAATTGTTTTGCAGTTTTACGCCTTGACTGAAGATGCTAAGTTTCTTGTGAGATTGACTCTCTCAATCTCACAAGAATTAGTTTCTCGAAGGAGAGTATGCGTTTCTACAAGCTAGTAAAGTCTTACTTTCAAGAATCTTCTTTCTGTGTTAGAAGTGTACAACAATTTTTGTTGAGGGACAGGTTCACAAACGTCTTGGTTTTGCAGGTCCGAAATCACCGAGATGATTGGAACTTGGAGGTGACCCAGCCTGTTGCTGGCAACTACTACCCGGTAGAACTCACACAACAAGCCGTATTGGTTTACAATATCTTCTAAACTTCTTCTTAACTAGAGCCACATGTACTCCATGTCCACTCAGAGAACGCGTGGTATCCTCTCAGTGTATGCATAATTATGACTTTTCTAACGTCTTGTAGGTTACGTCAGACGTTTGTACTTATACAAAATTTTTGTTTCGAATGTTCTACAAATTGCTTTACCTGCAGTACGTATAAGATTGCTAACTTTTCAAGTGGACCTACTGGATATCAAAGTATCAACGGATCATTTCCCTAGACAGCAATGTGTCTGACAGCGATCCACTCTTTATTTCTGCTGTCGACTAGTATCAGCATGCGTCTTATCATTTGAATCTAAGTTGTGAGAAACATGGATTCTTATGTGGGCTGAAAAGAGTCCAGAGGACATCTCTAGCCAGCCGTCATACATCCTTTACGCACACAGGATATCTGACTTCATGTGTTGCATATGCTCAGATTAACCTGGGACTTTATATAACGGACGGTGCAAAAGACTTCTCATTGCTGGTGGATCGTGCTGTGGGAGGTGCCAGTATTAAAGATGGGTCCTTGGAGATCATGCTTCACAGGTTCAACACTTTCTCTGCTTCCATAAATCTCTGCATCATGTATCATGACTGAATGAATTGACTTCTACAGGATTACTATCAATTTCAGCTTATACAGCTTCTTATGGTGGAATTTTGTGGAATGTCCCTTGGTTAATTGCCGCAGGAGCCTGGTGAATGATGATGGCAGAGGAGTAGGTGAGGCTTTGAATGAACGGGTCTGCGTGGGGCAAACTTGTGAAGGTTTGACTGTAAGTTACATAAATCCGTCGATTGAGTGATCGCTTGACAGCCAATTTGTTGACACATGAAAACATGACCACAGGCATATGTCTGCTCTCCAACCGTGCAAAATATCGTTGAATTTCTGACTGGCCTCTTCTGCAGGTTAAAGGAAAGTACTACATTTCAGTCATGCTCAAGGAGAACGCATCAGAATGGCGCCGCAGCTTTGGCCAACGAGTTTATTCTCCACTTCAGCTTGCTTTCACCGAACAGGTCTGGTCCTGAAAAAGTTTCATCCGCGTGCATCGAGCATACATTTTCCTTTGGACAAGTCCCGCATGTGGAAAGAAGTGAGAGACCTTCTTTCATGTTACCGATTCTTAGGAATACAAGTGATTTCAACCTTCTTCAGAGATGATTTTCGTTCATTTTAAGGTTAAGTGTAATCAAAATGTACATCCGAGTCCACGCTGTCAACCCTGATGTTCACAGGTGCTGTAAATCCGACCCTACATTAACTTCAATGCGAGTGGAATTTTGTCCAGCTGTGTGATAGAACGAATGCACTTCTGTGTAATCCTCTTGTGTACGTAGTGAAGAAGCAATATCTGAATATGAAAGTTCGTTGCAGCTAGGAAACCGGTCAACATTCTCAGCTCTGACTGGGAATTTCTCGTTGCCTGCGAACGTTGCGCTACTAACTCTTCAGGTGTGAATCATCAATAGTCCTCCTCGAACACCACAACGGTGAATATCAAATTTGCGTTGTTGTTCTTCACTGCCTCGTCCGATTGTTAGTCCAAATCGTCCTGTCTCATGTAATCATTTTGACGCTATACTGCAGGAACTTGAAGGAGGAGACGTACTTTTGCGGTTGGGGCATCTATATCAGGTAAGGCAAGTGCATGTGAATACAGGCTTGAGAACAACTAACGTTGTCTTGAAGCTACAGAAGAGAAGTTCTGAATTGATAGTCACATTTTACAGATTTTCACATTTTTGCTTCCAAACGGTGCTGTTTTTGTTTAACAGGCAGGTGAGCATGCCAAGCACTCCAAAGCTGCATCAGTCGACTTGAAAAACATGTTTAAAGACCGCAAGGTGAAAACCGATAAACCGATCCGAAAATCCGATCCCTCGCCCCCCATCCCATCCCTTCCTCATTGACTCTTGTTGCACATTGTCCACGGACCAAAAACTTCGCACTCGAAAAGGCTGTGCGTGTCGACTAAATCTCTCATCTCTTCTCTTGCAGATCGTAACAGCAACGGAGCTGAACCTGTCAGGCAATCAACTCAAATCTGTTTTGAAGAAGAACTCCTGGAGAGTTCAAGACGGCATATCAACTTCCTCGATGGTTGCAAGGGGGAGTACATTTGATGCCAACACAATGATAGTTGAGCTCGGACCCATGGAGATACGCACGTTCCAGCTGGCGTTTTAAGAAAATTGAGTATATTTCTGCCATTATTTCGATCAAGGTATGGTCTCATGAGGAGGCGTCATGATCCCCTGAAGCATCGCCGGCGAGATTACAGGATCCCATTCCATTGATGTAGGCCTAATACGTGCATTTGGTTGCGTAAATTAGATTCCGGTAGACCTATTAGCAAAATATGGTGTGTCCAGCCATCTGTTGCATCCTAACTCGTCGAAGGCCCAACCTTCTTCACGATTGTAACAGCAAAGTCTAAGATTCATTTATTACTGATTCTTTCACCCTCATCCTGCTAGTGTGCTCTTCTATGTCAACCTCTTGTTTGCTTAAGTTCTACTGGAAAGAAGAGCAATGCAAGAAGGCTAGACACACGAATTGAGTTCTTAGGAAGGTTTCTTTTGTAGAGTTGTTTCAACACAGGTACTGGATCAAGAGTTAAACCCCAATCCGAGTTGACAAGGGATGTTTCTTTCCACAGAGACAGAACCCCTAGAACATCTCATTCCTAACTAAAAGGAATGTTTCTTTCCACAGAGACAGAACCCCTAGAACATCTCATTCCTAACTAAAAGGAATTTAACTTCACAAGTCCGCACAGACAGGAAGTAGGGAGTATAACTGTAGTCTAACACTCCCACTTACTATCTACTTACTTCTCTCGTCCTCATTTCCAACTAACAAACCCAAATTCTGACTTTAACACCAATGCCTCTCTCTAGCTAATGGTTTCGTCATAATATCTGCAACCATATCTTCGGTTGGAAGATAAACTAACTTCACTAAGTTATTTGCGACTAGGTCCCCGAGAAAATGATATTTAATATCAATGTGTTCTGATATTTCATGATTCTTCTGGTTTTCTACTTGGGCAGTAGCACTTTGATTATCGAAGAATATTTTTGTCGACTCCAGCTCCAAGCCCAAATCATTCAATTATCCTCTTAACCACATAGCTTCAGCTCCAGCCTTGGACAATGCCATATACTCTTGCTTCTGTAAAAGAAAGTGCTACTGACTTTTGTTTCTTTGATGTCCAACTAATGGTTCCACCATCGAGTTGGAAGCAATATCCAGAAGTAGATCGTCTCGTGTCAAGGCAACCTCCCCAGTCCGCATCAGAATATCCAGTCAAACCGGATGATTTATCAACCCTTGTAAACTCAAGGCCAAAATCGAGAGTTGCTTTTAGATATCTAAAAATCCTCTTCCAGTGTATCAATCCAGGATTTGACATGAACTGAGCCACTGAACTAACAGCATAAAATATATCGGGTCTAGTACAGATCATCGTCCACATCAAGCTCCCAACAGCAGCTTGATATGGTATATCTTTTATCTCTTCACTTTCTCCCACTGAATTGGGAGAGTCAAGCACACTTAACTTCAAACCGGGTTCCATAGGTGTATCAATAGGCTTACAGTCAGCCATGTTGAACCTCACAAATTTTTCGACCAAATATCGTGGTTGGGAGATTCAAATCCACCCTTCTTCACGATTTCTGTCCACTTGCATACCAAGACAGTGATGGATTTCTTCTAAGTCCACCATATCGAATTCAGTTTTAAGTTTCTCCTTGAAATTTGTAAGAAGTTGCAAGAAATCACTCGCCAATATACAGTCGTCCACATGTAATGCTAAATACACAAAAGCATTCTCCTGAGAGTGTACGTAAACATTCTGTTCTGCATTAGCTCTGGTAAAAGCAATCTGCAGTAAGAACGAGTCAATTCTTTGATACCACTGTCGCGAGGATTGCTTCAGTCCATAAATGGACTTATTCAGTTTGCATACCATGTTTTTCTCAGAAGAGATATTCAAGCCTTCAGGAAGAGACATGTTCACTTCTTCATCTAATAGTCCGTTCATAAATGGAGTTTTCACGTCCATTTGGTGTAGCCTTAAATTATTTTGAGCTGCTAGAGCCATTAACACCCTAGTGGATGTCAACTTCACCACAGGAGAAAATGTTTTTGAAAAATCAACGCCATAAACTTGAGAATATCCTTTAGCTACTAATTTGGCCTTGTATCGTTCAACAGAACCGTCAGGATTGTATTTGATTTTAAAAATCCATTTACCGCCAAGGACGTTCTTGCCCAAAGGTAACTCTGTCAATGTCCAGGTATGATTTTTCTCTAAAGAAGAAAATTCATCTTTCATAAATTCTTTCCATCTGATAGAATCACCATTATGTAAGGCATCTTGATAAGTAGTAGGTTCTTTGTGAGTCTCACCATATGAAAATAAAGTTCTATGCTTCTTCCTCTTTTCCAACAGTTGATCATGTTTTCGACACGTTTCCTTACTCTTTCCCCCCTTCGAAAGATAGGATCGATGATGAGGTGATGCTGCCCCCGAAGCTGTATGTTCAGGAGGTTGGACAGCCGGGGCCTCAGATGTAGAGTCTTGAAGTCTGAGTTCACCCAGTAGTTGCTCGAGGTTGCGAACCGTATCATCAAGAGGAGTAGAAAAGAGAGGATTCTCCCGTAGCTTCCATGTGCGCCTCTGGTAAGTCTGACCAAAACGGGCCGGATAAGTGGCAGGGACTTCAGCTGTGGGAGGATGACTCACGAAGTGAGTGGAAGGTGCGGGTGTAACTCCCACTACAGGGGATGGTGTAACCGGACTGAAGGCTACCACTGCTGGTAGCGTCCTGGTAGTAATATTGGCGGGAGGGGAAACCTGCGAACTGGATCAGTAGATGAAGCTAATGGTAAAGGGCGAAAGAGAGTAAAACCTTCTTGCTCAACGGGCGGAACAACTGATGCCTGCTGATGGGGAAGGGTAGATTCCCGAACAGCAAGAGGCATAAATCTGACAGATCTGTTCTAAAGAATCTTAAGGGAGTCTTTTCGCTGTGACCGATATCCTTTGGCTCTAGGAGAATAACCAAGGAAAACACATTCTACACTCTTGGGTCAATCTCACCCAGACGGTCTTTTTCAATATGAGCAAAGACAGTACATCCAAAAACTTGTAAGTGACTTAGATCAGGCTTCTTCTGTCCATGCCAAAGTTCGTAAGGCGTTTTGTCATTGGGTAGAGCGTTAGATGGAGATCTGTTCTGGAAGTAAACAGCGGTATGAATTGCTTCGCCGCAATAACCATGAGAAAGACCAAAATGTGTCAACATAGCTACACCTGAATCGATCAAAGAGCGATTCTTCCGTTCAGCTACTCGTTTTGTTCGGGAGTATCAGGAATAGAAAACTGACGTTGAATACCATGAAGCATACAAAATTCAGTAAAAGCTTGAGATTTGTATGCGCTTGTTCAGGTAATTTTCAGTCATCAATCTAAATTACTGAAACTTGGCAAAGGCTTCAAACTTCTTTTGTAGCAAATACACATGCGCATATCGTGAAACGTCATCAATAAATGTTATGAAATATTTACATCCAGAGAATGTTTGAGTTCTCTGAGGGCCACATATATCTGTGTGCACTAGACCAAGAAGGTCTATAGCGCGAGTGCTTCCTTGGCTTGGGAATTAGCTCTGGTAGACTTCCCTAGAGCATATGAAGTGCAAAAAGGGAGAATTCAAAAAGAACACCTATCTAGCTTTTGCATCATATGATGTTTCAATTGTTGAATCCTTGGAAGAAGACTCATATGGTCGAGCTTTACATGCCATTGATAGGTGTTCAACTCCTCAGTGATAGAGCCGAACAACTAACATTGACAGAATTGGAGCATGTATTTGAAGAAGTTGTGCCCAGTTTGAAAAGTTTGTAAGAATTGATAAAGTAGTAAATAATATGGTTCATCTTGTCTTTCAAGATGCATTGATTAGGTTGAACCGGTGTAAACTCACTCTTTGGATAATAAACTGATTTATAGAAGATAAATTCTTTCTAAGATCAGGAACATATGGGATGTTAGGCATGATGCTTTCTTGTTCATTATTTTAAGAAATGAGAACATTCCATTTTCTTTGAATGGGTTTGCGACTATCATCGCCCAAATATATAAACTACTCTTATGGTAGTTCAATATATGTCACAAAAGCATTTTTACTATATGCCATGTGCTGGTTACGACCGGAATCCACATACCATACAAGATCCGCCCCAATGATAACGTGGTGACATATAATTGCTGCTGAACATTTGTTGTAGAATGTGAGGAAAAAATATCTTGTTTCTTTTCCCGAAACTCTTGAACAAGATGACCTCGCTTTTTACAATAGAAACACTTCATCTTTTGTTTAATAAAAGATGGTTTAGAAAGAAGTTCTTGTCTAGAAGAAGAACATGTCTGAGTGGATGTTTGTGGATGTGACATATTTGGTGGGTGTCCACCTTCGTTTCTCTGCTGTGTAGAGTGCTGCCATACTGTCAGTCAACTCTTCTCTTTGAGGTGAGATTACTTAAGAAAAACACTAACAATAACAGATTGTGTGGTCCATGTGTGTTGTGACCGCATCCAAAGCACAAAGTATCTATATTCTATAAGAAGATTTCTTAGGAGACAAGTGTAAGCTTCTGCCTCTAGAATACTTTGCCCTATAGAAGCCAACTAACAGTGACGATATGTTTTGCCATAATCTCTCATGTTTTCAGTTTGAAAATATGCAATGCATTTGCATCGGTATATTATAGAATTCAAAAACTTTACTTAGTTCAACTCAGGCCTCTACTGCTGTAACATAATCACTTATCAAAAGATGTTATAATCTTCCAACGAATTATATAACATAGCCAATGAAATGAAGTTTTCGTCATCCTATTCTTTCTGCTATTAAGGCAAGCATAGTAATCATAGAACCAGTTGGAATGGTTGACCAAAGCCATTAACATCACATTACATCCATCAATCTTTCCACTCAAAGTATCTAATTCGTTTTATTCTTCCGCAATTGAAAATATTAACCATTAAATTTGGAGATATATTTCCTTTCTTCCATGCAGCTCCTATTAGAAACTCTGGAAAACATCTTCCAGAATTTGATTGTTGGTATTCTCAACAAAGTTTCTTTCATGATTTATATTCTTTACTTCTCATAGAATCAATTGAAATTTTCACCAAGCTCATACAATTTTGGTTTGGCTAAAATTTCACGTTTTCGTGCATTGAACACTAACCCTAATTATTGAATTTATACAAATTTTGAAATTTCATTGAAACTGCATGCAATTCATGAAATTTTGCTTGAAATTGCATGATGTTTAAAAAATCGACCGAATTTCAAGTAATGGGTGAAATTGCAAACTTTTCCAAAAAAAACTTTAAAATTTCGTTGAAATTTTAAACCTTCCATCAACTTCGGGAAAGAAATGAGAAATAACCCTTGAAACTATTCTGACAATTAACACAGGGATGTTTCAATGCAAAAGGCATACTTCCTGCTTTTACTAATTCAAGAACATGAAGAAGAAGAACCATGTTAACAAGAAGAGCAATGCAAGATGGATAGACAGGAATTTAATTCTAAGAAAGATTTTTTTTCTAGAGTTCATTTAACACAGGTCCCAAATTGGGGGTGTGATCCCTGACCCGGAACCTGTGTTGAATGAAATCTAGAAAAAAGAGTTCTTCAGAAAATTACTGGTGTCAATACTATTTGAATTGCTCTTCTTTCTGTTATTTGTATTCTAGCTAGTTTAGTCACGAGGCAAACGAAGTGTTTTGAACTAGAAAATGTCTCCTCTGAGGACAATAAGTGTAAACATCTGTCTTCACATGCATGCAACTTGAACTGACTTTCACACACCGTGGGATAATCCAGTTAGAATGTGCTTGTGTCTCTTGAAGACATTCAATTGGTTCAATACTCTTGAGTATTGAACCAATTACTGTGTACGTCGAGACCTTCCTCGATGTCGACAAAATTTATAACATGAAGACATAAATACCATAGGTGGCAAAACTCTGCACTTCCTATAGAAAAAGAACAGTTATTGGCTTTTGTGTCCGACAAACTTTATCAATCCATATCCATTCCTGTGGTTCTTCTGTTCTTCTGAAAAGCATGAGGGTTTTACACGAACGCAGGAACCACCCTTCCCATAACCTTACCATCTAACTCCCTATCTTGTCTTCGACAAATCTGGTTGGTATTTTGTTGGGAAGTAATGTAATCAGTACTTTCAGAAACGTCGCCACTGTACTGCTTACCACAGAGACAACGTCCCTTGAGCATCACTAGCATCGAAAATTTATGCAGTAACTGTTCTTGAGGCCGAGTGATCTAGAGTCACTTGGTTGCAAACTATACATCTCTGCACATCTGGGGATCCTATTCCACTATCAACTTTCTACCTAGTACTTCAACTCCACAACCTATGGCGTAAATCGATAGGTTTTCGCGAAGGGGAACATGAAACTACACATACTGACCTAGAATGTAGGCGGGGCAAACTTGAGATCCGGCTACGTCTCATAATGATTTCTTTACCAATTCACCCTCGCCCGAAATTAGAGAATAGACTGTTAAATGATGGCAGTGCGATGAAGGCTTTTCTTAATTGCTACTATTGAACACATAATCCAGAGCACATGTGCCTCAGTTTAAGGGATGATCATTATCCAACATCCATCTATGGGTGAGAAGGTCAGATAATTTCTCCCTCCTTGCAGTTCGCTTCTTTTCTGTGAGCTTATCTGTCTAGATCTAGTAGACAATAAGGAAATTTTTTGGGAAGCTGCATCAAAGCTGTTTTGCCTGTTGGTATAATTCGAGACTTTTGTTCAGGTCTGATGCAATGTCCCAGGGTGTAACCCAACGCTCTGGCGACAGGCACAGCCACAGCATTCCCGACCTGAATGTACCTGTTTTCATAGAAAATGGTTCAGCTTCCGTCAGTACACATCATGGGCTCGAAAATCGGAGGGGGTACAAAGTTAACGTATACTACACATGCATAAGGATATTATGCTTACCTCTCCTTCACCGACCCAAATAGTTTGTACCAATCGGGAAAACCTTGGAGTCGGGCGTTTTCTCGAATAGAAAGTACACGATCTTGTTCTGGATGTAAAATCGCCTGAGGAACCAATGCAGCAAGCTGCAAGTAAGAACCTATGCCGTTCCTCAAGATTATTTCCATATATTGGAATCCGATTATTCTTCTAACCGAGTCTGGCAAACATTTGGCGTAAGGTCAAACAAATCTAGACGATGGCATGAGGGATACCGTACTATATTGTGGGGTTCAGCTCGGGTAACCACGGTCGATACAGTTTCATCCCACCACAGCCGTCCGAAAGGCCTGATAGAGGCAGAACAAGACAGGTTAGATACAAGTGTAATTATTCCAATTATCAATTACGCGACTATAACAGGAGAGCTCAATTTTCGAACTTACTTCAACGACTTCCCTCGAACAAATGATATGGCGTAATCTGGAACCTGTCGGAGTGGTAAAATTGTGCACAAAAACACTTGATTAGATACATGTCATCACGACAAATTTCTAAATAGATAAGTATTAACTTATAGTATCAAGATCGAGAGCATGTACTCAACAGGAGAGGTAAATTGTGACTGAATATAAAGATGTTTTACATCACTGAAGTCCTATGGTTATTGGCATATTGCAAATACGATCAAAAATATTGCATGTACAGCGCAAGACTATAATCTACTTGACTAGCTTACAGTATAACCTACTTGACTACCTTAGAGCAAGACAATCTAGTCCGAAGCAAAATGGATGAACCCAAACGGAAGTCGTGTGTCCAGTATATGATGAAGCTAATAAATGCAAATTAAGCTTAAAAAGCGCCTCCCGAATACTAGGTCTAGCAAGAAACAGAATCTATGAACAAAACTACGTACTGATCGACCTACTGGGGTTCTGATCGTGAATGTAGACGAAGTTCGTACCAAAGGTTTTCCTGAGGGCAGGAGGACCCTCTTCTTTCTCTCGACGTCCACTGTGCCATCAGATAAAACTATGATTCCCTTTAAGTCACGGAAGTTAGCCCCCTGTATCATTGTCAATGTAGAAAATGTTAGTATGGCTGCTAGTATGGAAACGAGAATCTCAAACCGGACCCGTCGAACAAAAGGGTTGTGAATTTCTACCTTCTTGTGAGGGATCTGGCAAACTCGGTGATAATCATCTGGATTCAGCTCAAGAGACCGATGATCGTAGAGAATTGGCTTTGTTGCTTTTGTAGGTTTTGGTTTCCTATGAAGCACTGCACCGATCAACCCATGATAAGGACGCCATACTCATAACATTGTAGATAGAAGAAGATGTAAACATCACTAATCCATGTTTTATGTACTCAGTAGCATTCACCAGCCATAAACTGAACTTACTCCATCGATTGAAAAGTAAACGATGTACTAGAACCAACCATGGTCAGTGTCATTTCTTCAAGATGTAAGGAGCAGGCGGTTTTGAGGAGGAGGAGGAAAATCTGTCTTCACTAATCTAGTGTCAGACCATCAAACCAGCATATACACCACTAACTTTGACGAGGTTGAGACAAGGAGGACCACGCTTAATTCGGAAACAGAATACTTACCATATTGCGGAGCTCTTATGAGTTTCTGGAACGGAGTCCGAGGACTTTGGTCATAAAACATCTCATCGTTCGAATCCGAATTCCCTATCTGGATTTCCGTTCATAGCAAAACTGTTAAACTCGAAAAAGAAGTCTGTACAGATGAGTACTCAGCCCCTATCAAGGTTTGTCGACTATAGGAACACACTCTCTATCATCCTATCTCTACTGTTTTATAAAAACAGTAGACCCATTTGTAGGAAAAATGTACATCCTGCAGCTTGGTGATCGAGAAACTTTGGGCAGTACCTTCACTTCCACTCTGGATCAACTTCCATCAACGAACAAATTTACTTACAGAACCAAAACTCTTCGTCCTCTTAAAAATGATAGCTGGGCTAGTATATATCTAATCCAAGTGATATACACAAGACGAAGCTTACTTGTGGAAGTACCATGCACTTAGTGAATAAGACAAACCTTGGGCATGTCAGAAATAGCGTCTTTAAGAAGCAAAGCACTCTCCAAATGAGGAGATTCAGTCTCATCATAGGCGACAACATTTTTCTGCGAGATCAAAAGCTTTGTCACAATTGCGGAACAATATTGTGAAAATGAAATGTTTAACTGAAGTATTCTAAGCAAAAGTTGCTATCAAACTCCACACGGCAACTGAAATCTTATTTCCTGGCTAGCAACAATCTTGTACAATTCAAATATCGTTACACAAATCCTACCTCCCAAGATTGAGGAGCATGACCACGCATCACCACTGAGTGTGTCGGTAAAGGGTAGGCGGGGAGATTCTGCAAGTAGAACTTTAGTCAGTTTGATAACGTGAAGAAAACCAAAAGCTCCGAAGTTGCTAGGAAACTGTAAAGTCCACAGCTTACCTCGGATGGAGCAGCTCCCCACAAAAAGACCCTCATTCTGAACTGCGGAAGGCCGTAGCATCCCGCTACAAGAAGACCAAGCTTAGCCTGCCAGGATGCGGGTGGCTAAATTAATTCCTGTGATTGTCTTGCTCTGACTCAGGATACATTGAAAGAACACAACCATGGATATTTGTTAAGTCGACGTCTCCCTCACACCTGATAGTGCATTCGCACAAGACGACTTAAGGCATATCTGCCAAGTACGCCATTGGCGAACTTGAGGATGTCCACAACGTTCTCCATCAAAACAAACCTTGGTTTCAAAAACTCAACAATGTCCATGTACACAATAATCTGCTTGTTCCTCACACACTTCAGAGGTTCTGTTTTGTTGCGAAAGCGATTGAATCCACTGGCACCTTGACAAGGTGGGCCCCCACAGATAACGTCGCAATCTCCCTACAGTCAACAATATCGACTTTACGATTGAATACAAAAGAGTACCCGAATGAACAAGATGCGAGGCTTCACTAGTTTTAAGGAACGACTCTCTAACTTGGTAGTGAACTTACATCAGACCTGCGCCCATTCCCTAGCAAACCTATGTCATTCAAGATATGGTAAATGGTAAATGGTAAATAGATCAAGCCCGTGGGACCCAAAGGGTCAAAAGGCTAAAAAGCACAATACATCCAATCCAATATTAAATTAAAAAAATTAAATTAAAGATAAATTAAAGACCAAGTAGTTGAACAGTTCCTATATTCCATCGACTGAGACTTACTCTACACATCAGCATATTCGAGTATGGCCAGTCTGGGCTCTTACCGGTAGCGGCAGAATCCGTTTTTTCTGCCCAGCAACAACGAACTCCTTAATCTTTTGGGGACAGCTGAAACAACAATGTTCTCGTCGTCAATTCTTTTCGTAAAAAGGTGACAAAAGTCTACGTTAAATCTCCTCAAATAAAATAAATACATCAATCACAACTAGCACATACGGTTGATCATTGCAGATCTAAAAACATTTGTCTCTAACGTGGAGCCACCGAAGGTAACCATGAAATATAAAACTGACTAGTGAGCGTTACAAGCTAAGAGTGTAAGTTCGACTATTGTAACTGCACAGAAAATGAGAAACTCCGTGTCTAACTATCGGCATACAAATATTTAACACTACGTACGCACTTTAAGTGTTCTTCCGGCTCCCAAGTGTCATCTTCAGGGTCATCATAGAATTTCCACTTTACCTGCAAAAGAAGTTTTCAAATTCAGTACAGATCACACTAGTGCTACAGTGATATCGGTTTTTCATTACAAAACGCTCCAACTCTCCTGGCTGTCCAAAGAATTAGTTGCTTGACAGTCTAAAGAACTGCGTTATCACGTCACATTTGAGAAAGGTTGGACAGATTTTCGTCAAAACCATCGATCTTGTTCTTACAGTAAGCGAGTATGTACAATGCAGTTCCCTCAGGCCTAAAATTGTAGTTGACAGATTTTTGAATCAATTGAAGAATGATATGGAAGATGAGCTCGTAAGAGAAAACTCGACTTGGCGAGTTCGAAAACTCATTAAAAGTCAAATCCGACAACACAAAGCGTGCTTCTTTGAAAGGAAGGGCTTTGCTAGAACGTCTAATTTCTCAACGTGCAGAGTCTCGTTTCGTTCTTTAACCCGCTTCCTCGCGAAAGGGATCCAGTCCAAAAATTTTCCACAACTCGTGGAAATTGCACATGATGTCAGCTTAGATATGTACATCACTGAGTAAGTACGCATCGTACTTCCACATTTGCATTAAGATAAGAATGACTTATTAAGTCTGGAGGTACCCGGAACCAAAGATCTAATGCTCACGGTTTAACTTTGGCACGTAATCAAAAAGATGATTAAGGTGAAAGGGAAACTTAGAAAAAATACGGAGGAGTAAATAAGAACCTACCAAAAATTGCTCAATATATCCTCATCACGGAAGAGCAGTTCAATTGCAAGGAAGTGGTTCTACATCTTCGTCTTTAGGGACATTATTAGTTACCGTTCTAGTGCTCTTGGCACTAGCTAGGGATTGACCTTTGGGGTCTTTTCCGTTGTTTTTGGTTTTCGCTTGTATTGTGTTTTTCAGCTTTTTGACCCTTTGGGCACCCCGGGCTTGGTCTATAACCATTACCATTAACCATTTGTACAAAACTTAATAGACAGCATTATGCTACCTACTGATGGATACCATGACAACGCTGAGTCAGGACTTCTTCATGAACCCATATACGTGAGAAGGTTGTAGCCTATGGTTATCTTTAAGTTGATCATAGACGCATATCCGGTTCCATCTGAACTAAGAAAGCGTTTTCCAACTTTTCCAGACGACAGGGCATTAATCGTATACTACTTGGTTTATGAACAGAGATGAGCAGATACTTTCAGAAATATAGTTCCTATTCTACTTCTTTCTGGGGCCATGCTTCTTCAGTGCTTGTCACATGCTCACAGAACAAAGTCCATCATAAACTTGTTCATATTATTAAACTGAAGTGAGCAGATAATCTCAGCAATTTAATTACTTCCTTCATGGTCACATGTCTACACAGGGCTTGTCGCATCCTCGTATAACAAAGAGACCCTCACTTCCACCCGTAACCACAAAAGAGTCTATATCAAAAAGGACACCCATTCAGCGCTCAACTCTCGTGAGCTATAAAACAGTTACTAACCTTAAACTCGATTCCTGGTTTCCTCGCGGTGTTACTGCGTTGAATGTACGTGGGAGACTTTGCATTATCCAATTTAATCTCTAATCTAGATGTTCCTGCCCACCGAATGCCAACGATGGATTCAACTTCATAGACAGACTCCTCATCGTCCGAGCTACTGTCATCACTTTCCTCCACCTTCTCCTCTACTTCACTTTCTTCGTTATCCATGGAGTACCTCTCACATAAATCGTACCAAGCTTTGATAAGGGCCAAGAAATCTTCTGCAGACTCATTTCGCACCTACACACCAGAGACCGAAAATCATACGAGATATGATTGTTATAAAAAGTTCCTACCGTGAAGCGTTCACCTGAAGTAATTGACCATTCAATTCAAATATGAAGTCAAGTGTGTCACTTTACCTCAGTTTCCGGGTGATTGAATTTTAGGCTTCGACACGCATGCTCGTTTAGATCTACTGCCCACCTCTGCAGCAACGAAACCGGACAACAGACGATCAGGGGAGATGGTCGTGTAGAAGGGGTCTAGTTCTTTGAGGTAAAAAAACACCAAGTTGCGTATACGGTAAAAAAGGAGACAAAAATTGTTTTCATTGAGAGTATCCTTCTAAATATTGGCAGAAATGTGAAAAGCGCAGGCCAACGGCGTAATGCACACAAAACATGTTGGTATCTTCAGGTATGGATGCTACCATCAGTGGAAGAAAAATCAGAAATTACATACAAATACATAGTAGACAACTTATATCCATAGTAGTTTGATTTCATCCTCCACAAATATCATCCCGCACGTCGAGTGAAGTGCTGACTTACAGTTACAAGATTGGCACCAGCCAACGCACTTCCATTGCAGAGACCTGTGCTCATTGCTCCGCATCCACTATACAGGTCCAGCAACGAAAACTCTGGAGAGTTCTCAGTATGCTTCGCTTCACTCGAAACCTTCCCCATCTTTCTAGATGGCTTTGGCTTTAATCCTCCTCTTTTGGAGCTTGTCTCTTCGCTGGTTTCAACTGTTGAAAGCTCCTCACTGGTATCGCAAAGCAGCTCTGCGTATGCTCACATTGAACCTTTGTTATCTACGTTCATTTCTGACATCTGAGATCAACAGAACTTTGCAGTTCCAAAACCTGCTCGAATAGCCGAGGCAGTATAACACTAGGACTTTGACAAGCCTTTATTGCACTTCTCAAGCTCAAGAGAGCAACTTTAGCTTGAGTTTTAAAGAACAAGTCATGAAGGACAATGGGACGCTTAAATAAGGATTGAAGAGACGAAGTGTTGTGTGTCTAACTGCGGCAGTATAGACCAAGCCAATACTTAAAGAGCAAGAAACTCGAATAGCGTGTGTTCGCTGTAAGTATTGCATTATATATATGGACATGCGTCTGCTGCTATCTTGTGGTACATACTACAAATAACTTTCGAAGAGGACGTCCATCTATCCTCACCTTCAGGTAGCACATAGAAAGTAGAATACGCTGTGTTATAGCCCATGTCGAAGAAGTAGTCGCATCGAGGAAGTATGTGCTTGGTGAGCCTCATTCTTGGCTGGTGAACAAACAAACAGATGACACTTCAGAGTGAGAGTCCATTATGATCTCCTGCTCACTATCCCGTATGAAAGTAGTGCATTCGATGTACTCACAAGCATATGCTTGTAATGGCATAAAGGAGAGCCAAAAGGTTTCAAAATAGGTGAAGCTCAAGGGCTAATATACTTCCCATCGTTTGCGTAAGAACGAAGAATACTCTTACGAACCAACCCCTACAGGAGAACTGAAACTTTGCTACAAGAAACACGAAAGGAAAGCACTCTGATGGAGAGCTAATAAAGACACATCAAAAAACGACCCCCTTCAGGAAAGGTGATGCAACCAGTATACAAGGTCAGAAACAGCTGACTCTCACAACACGCTTAGGTTTCGGAATGATCATGAGTAAAGGTAAGAAGTATTCTTCAACTTCTTAGAATTGTTGGGTACTCGTGGGAGATTTGTAACAGCTACATTAACAAAGTAGGAGAGACACCTTGCGTGCTGGAAGAGTCCAATGCAGAAATCTCCAGGCGTTCTAGATATCGATAAGATGTCTCAATTTCCTTCCAAGCGAACCTGACAAGGATTCTTCTAATTTCCTGACTACTTCCTTGAACAACTGATATCCACGGTTAATGCGTGCATCCCTATAACAACTTAATATGGTCCCTGTCCAGCGTACGTAGCAATCTAGCTCGTCCCTTTAACAAGGATACCATACAGGAAGATGTGCAGACGGTACTAGCTGGATGGGCATTCAATTCTTTACAAAACAATGGCTTGAATTTCTTTGGGCCGTTGGTCGAGAGCTTTGGATTTCCAGCCCTTCGAAAAACCAGGTTTCGTCCAAAAATAATGGCAAAGCTGTATTCAATATCGAAGATTGGCAGCTTTATATTCCTTCTCTAAGACCAACTTCTCTAGAACTTACAGGTCCAAGCTTACAGGTGGATAACAAACACAATAAGCCATATAAGTTGTGATTTTAAAAATTAACTCCATATTTTGAACCACGTACGTTTTCCAACCAGCGCAGATCACTACCATTTAGTTGGTCTTAGAGAAGGAATATGAAGCTGCCAATCTTCGAATACACTCTTCTATGGCTTTTTGTGTTTGTTCATCCCTTGGTTCGTAGTTGAAGAGTGATGCCTCTTCAATATGTAAAACTGACCTCATTGCCTTTGTTCTCTACCTCGAAGAAAGTCAGCAAACAAGAACAGTGGAATTTTGACTCTTCACGTAGTGAATATTAAGGTTTCGCCGTGCCATATGTTCATATATACGGCTACATATATCGATAATCTTCAAAAAGGACGGGATGTAAAGGACATCTAGAGGAGGGAAACTATTACTTCCTACAACCTCACACACCTAATGTACGTGAACTTGGTAGGTTCTCATAGGTTGTATGTACAACCTTTGTCAACCGTACCACGTTCACAGTATTGATTCGCAAAGCTCGAACACATTTGAGCTGATATTGAAAGTGTACTCAAAGCTTGTCTGATAAGGTGGTCTTTGAAGGGACATTATGTAAGCCGAGTAGTCTTTCTTCGCAGAAACTATGCGGCTCCAATAGAACCAGGAGCATACCGATATTCCTGTTAGAAAGGTAGCTGCGTTCTTACCTATAGTATCTCTGCATTCATTCCCTACCTTGGACTTGAACTGAGTTCAGGCTCCAGCAGTGATCTATATTATACTTGTATAACAAGATTGAGAGTTGACGAACACAATGAGAGTTCCGGAAGAAAAATTAAGGCACTCTTACCGGTGGTGCTATTCTAATAACTTTCTTCTTCTCGACAATGCACTCCAGTGGATTATCGTCCACCTGTTCCGAGTAAAACACGCGTTTGGAATTGTGATCAATTCCATTGCTTAGATCCTTTCCAATTCCCTGCATACATACGAGAGAACTATCAGAAAACACTTGTCATGGATGACCACAAGCTACAGTTTTGTTCAAGCTAAGAAAAGCGTAAAAGGCAGACTCAATAAATCTCGACTTTGGAAAAGCGTTCGGAGTAGTACCGTATCTTCAACTCGAAAAAACCATTGACAACGGAACCATTTACTTCTATCTCTTGACTCAAAAAATTCGAGAATTCTTCCCAGATAATCGCATCCAGCTTCTGCCTGTGCACAGTGTACGTACAACGGACATGAGGAAAGATGTTTCCATTTCAAGCTCATTGGCAGGCATGCTTGTATTTGGACGAGAAAATACACATGGGGCGGCTTGACTAAAGTACAATTACAAGATGACAATATTTGCGTCAAGAAGTAAGTTCAAAATAGTGGGCTCTTTGTTCTCAAGTTTCAGTGACTCACATTCACATGAACGCAGTCGCCAATCTTATATGCCTTTTTATCCACTTCTGCTGTTGTGTAGTGGTGCAGACATCTCTCGTCCTCCCTGATTGTGCGCAAGAAATCATCAAATTAGCTTCATTCTAACGTTTGAACATGTGATACAAAGGTTGAGCTTTTTGTTCAACTCGTAAGCCCTTCTCGGATTGTGGGCAGATATCTAGCACAAATACATCTCAGGGGACCACAAAGTACAAAACAATAAATGGTAAATGGTAAATAGATCAAGCCCGTGGGACCCAAAGGGTCAAAAGGCTAAAAAACACAATACAAACAATCAAACTCCAAACCAGGAGAGAACCAAAAGAACCCCCTAGCTAGTGCCAAGAGCACTAGAACGAAAACTAATAACATTCCTCATAAAAATACCTAAATCATAAGGCTCAAGCTGCAGTAAAGAATAAAAATATGGACGGTAAAGTTTATCATAAACTTTGTTTAGACATAAACTTTGCTTCTGGAGCTTGACGGATGCTCTAACCCTACTCAATGCAATTTCTTTCCGGACAGATGAGTGTGTACACTAAACTCACCCAACGGGAGAAGGTTTCTTTCCTCCACGCGTGGCATCAGAATCGGATGCTCCGTCCTGAGATCTCATGCAAACATTTGCGTAAATACGTTGAAAAACTCGTGCTGGAAGCGGAACATGGGGAACAGAACAGATAGAGTTCGTTCAGTCATATAACTCTGCTACTCCACATTGTTCTTACAATGTGAATTGGCAGTGCAGTAAGACTTCAGTGACGAGCGACAAAAATATCGAGATGCTGATAAACATATGTAGATTCATCATCTCGTTGTTCTATGAACGGATGGACAGCTATTTCCATTTTGTACTCAACGATGTTTCCAGTAGACTGGACATAGGCAGTGGCGTGATTATATGCTCACCTCTTCGTCGCCAAAAACTGAATAACGATGAGGCCATCTCGAGATGGCCTCTGCTCTCGGCAGGGGCTTTCCTAAAAACCGACACGATATAGTGACACGCTCTTTGTTGACAGCTTTCGGTGCCGATTCTTGGAGATCATCAGGTTCGGAAACATCTCCGATCTCTTCCTCATCTATGTCAAGTCCTTCCTGGTCACTTCCCGCTTCCTTCTCGCTGGGTCCTAGGTCATCTTCTTGTTCTGAGGTATCGGACAATTCCTCAAAGTCGGGAACAGTTACTTTAATTGGAGATTTCTTTCTTGCTCTTTTAGCAGCCGCTTTGACTTTAGGAGCAGATTTCCTTTTTCTGTTTGTCGGTCTGCTATCAAGGGATTGACTGAGGGTTGACGACCTTGTTTGACGTGGTTCTATTGATTCTCCATCTGATGAGCGCCTCTTTGTCTTTATGACCATTGTGGCTTCGGAACAATCTTCGAGGACCTTGGAGTAGGGGCGATTCGATACTGCAAAATCTCAAAATGCACGGCATGAGAAGTTAGCATCACAAAGAGCTCTAAACTGATCCATTTCGTCTTTCGTCCAAATTTTGCAGCAGTAATTATCTGAATCGTGGGCATCAATTTAGTACCCAGAATGAGTTGATCGTAACAAGGTGATATCTATCAACTAGTCACACATGACGGTTGTGTAGCATTGATTATAATCTCCTCCGCGCTGGTTGCCTAGTTTTCCCAGTGTAAACTAATGTAGCTTGCAATTGAAGTGCAGGTAGTTTTTTTGTGTAAGATCACCCGCACTGGGGAGATAATTGTGTAGACGGTTATCAGCATGTGAGCTTTATATTACAAATCTTGAGAAGGGAATAGGATAGAACAGTTCATACTACGATATCCATACAAAACACTTCGATATAAGATCCAGTCGCTGTTTCGAATACTTCAGAAGTTGATGTCTGGAGCTCGGGGATTAGACTCAGGCGCTTGAAAGGATGACATAATCAAGGTGAACTAAGGCAAACTTAACTCATATAATCTGTTACTGTAATCAGGCATACCTTGCCAACTTTAGGACAACTGGAGGCTTCAAATCGAAAAACTCAAATGGCTCTCAATGCAGAGAAATGAACATAGATCGATCGTCCATATCGAGTGAATAACCAGACGTACCTCACTCGAGCATGTACTTAGAGCAATCGATAAGATCTCAATGAATTGACAGCTCCCAATGAGTTCAAACATTCTAGGAATCCTAGTACTTCGAGGATCAGATTACAGCATTGATGCAGTTTAAATGCTTATAAGGCTCAATATGCTTGCTCCACCAGTAAACTAAAGTCCATCCTGCTGGCTGATCATCTGGCCAACCATGAACGATCCAGTAAGCGTTTGGTTGTTAGTTTAGTTTGAACATCGAGCAACTTTCTTCAATAAGAAAGACATTTCCATTTCACCCGTCGTTCTCCCTTCTCCCTTCTCCCTTCTCCCTTCTCCCATGAGCTCATCAGATAGGAGGACGGCAATCCTGAGTGAGTTTTACGCTTCAAACTCGACAATCGGTACTGCATTACTGAATACCGTGTGTGCGGCAGAGGAGTATCACTTTGTTCAGAGCGGATGGATTCAGACATCAAGTTTGAAAAAATCTGAAGGTAATCCCAATGTTCGCCTTCAGTATGGAGCTCTAGTAGCCGGCTGCAAATCTGTTGTAGAGGCAGATCTGAGACAAAACGGGGATGGTATCTTGGGGTAAGCAACTTCTTTCTTGAGTAGGAGGGCCAGGTCCTTGGACCTCCGTAGACTAGTAGATCCAATGCACAATATTCCTCCCCCATGATAATATACAGCCTCAGAGGCAAAGCGATACCACATCGCGTGGTAACACGGTTGCCTGGCTCGAACCAGGAAAGCTCAAACTGTAGGGAAGACATTTCGGGGATGATCAACTCAGAAACACGGTTGCGATTAGTTGCCAGCAGGAGAGTACAAACCGCAAGACATAAACTACATGTCGAGGTTGAAAACACCAGACAGCTTCATCCGGTCTAGCGGTTTACGAACAGAAGCTCATATGGAGGATAATAAGGGACAGAAAATTGTATTGCTGTCTACCTTCGAAAGAAAGATATGGCCATCGGTAAATTAATAACGATGGGTTGGGAGAGACCTATTTTTCGTGCAGAGAGTCCTTCTCACGCAGGATGTTAAATCCCTCTTCAGGCACCTAAATTAGCTTCAGATCCTTAAAACAAGAGGATCATACAAATTCGCTTGGCAGCCTGATCAGGAATCGAATCTAGACCGGACTCTTGATTTAGATTCTACACCACCAGAATGGGTGATTTTGGTGTAAGGCTCCAAAACGATGAGCACACTGAGATGAAAGGCAGTCGAAGCCACGTCAACTGACAGCTTGTGGCACTTGAGCCGTTCAGCCTTGACGCGTTGAGCTGAGAAAGGCGGCTGTTTAAAAAAGAGGTGTCTAGGACTAATCTGATTTCTGCAGTCATCTTTCGGAGTCTGGAAGGACGCTGTAGCGATTAAAAAAGAATTTAAAGAATTTCCCTTTCTCAACAATTCGATCAGTCCCAATGATCTTCCATGCACATTACGCACAAAAAATAAATCTACAGCTTTAAAAGAGAAAAACTATACCAGTCTTCTTCGAAACACGCTCCGGCTCGAAATCGGCGTCCACAGTCACTAGCGGGATTGCACTCTCCAATTTTCGGGACATTGGCTCTGGAACAGATACAAACTCGAGTGCTAGAGCGGGAAGGTGTTCACAGAAGCACCAACTCGGTGATCTGTGGCTATTTCCACGTTCGACTTTCCCAAGAAGTACATCAGCGAGACGACAGAAGTCTCAGAACCTTAAGTCAAGTGCAGCCGCAGTGCGGCTAAGTGAACTGCGGCTGGTAATTTCAGTGCAGCTGCGTTCAGATGGGGGGGGGGGGGGGGGGGGGGGGGGGGGGGGGGGGGGGGGGTACGTGCAGCTGGTACGTTCGCCACTGCGAAATCCTCATGAAGAAACGAGAAATGGACGGCGACTGCACACTTCACGTCCGCATGTGACGACAACGGCTCTGTCTGACTGCAAGAGGACGAGCGGAGACGCCCATTCGGACAGAGGAACACAACAGAAGCTAGTGCTTCACATCATCTGACGCCAAAACCAGAGGAGATCGACCGAGGGAGGGAGGGAGCAATTGATCCACATTGCACAGATCGAGCTCGGCAAGAAAGAGGACGTCCTGTCTCACCTGAAGCGCAAGCTCTGACTAGATCAGAAGTGCGTCTACCGAAACAGAGTCCCTCGTTGCGTCAGCAGCAGCTGCCTCAGGAACAGAGGCGCCAAACCGTGCAGGCAGCATGAAATCCTCTGCTCCACCGCTCTCGACCGGAGCTCGAAGGGTCGAGATGGCAGGCGGAGGAAAAGTGAAACGACCCGAGCCCCAATCGGTTCAAACAGGAATCCACAGAGTCCAGCTTCATTCTCTGCGACCAGTCAGAGGCGCCATGGCGGGAAAGACGCATCGCATCTCCCGTCCCCCGACCGAGCCTCCCTCCCACTCTGACCCCCGACCCAACCCCCGCCGGCGCAACGGTAAATACGATGTACATGACAAGACGACGACGACGACGATCGCCGTCGGATTCCTCGAGGTCCAACTTCCAAGTAGGCGCTTCCATGTTTCAACCGCATTGCGCCCGCTGTCGAATTTCCAATTACTGTACCCGACCGGACGTGGAATTCCGACTTTTTACCTCGGCGCTTTTGTAAATTCTCGTCACTGCTGGCTTTGCTTTTCCCATGCGTCTGTGGGCTTTGGGCTCGAGTCCGATACGTGGACCCACTACTCTGTACTCTAATTCGCCCACTAACCGGACCTTTAGCTGACTTGGCCTCGGCCATTCAGATCGAGCCTATTATGGTTTGAACTCGACGCTGTGAGGTGGTTAGAGGTTTCTTGATACGACCCTTCTTCACATTATTAGGAAGACACCTTTCTACGGTAATGATTCATGCATTCCGATGTTGGTTCGGTATTAATGACTGAACAAATCATGTGCAAACCTCAATACAAAGGGAGTCAAAGCTACGTCGTGGCTGGTCTCCATGCAGACTATGAGCCATGCGTGCATGCAGTGAAACAGTGTACAATAAAAACCAAGAAACGGCAAGAGATGCAGCATCGAATTATTCGTATGGTTCTGGTTTATTCTCTAGTTCCAGATACTGTAGTGTTCACAGTATTACTAGGAATATAACTTGGAGAGTGCTTAGTTATCCCTCGCTTAAAGTTAATTATCACTCACAAGAGATATCTTTGATTGGTCCATACCATGCAAGTACAGAGGTAAAGGGGGAGAAGTGTGCTAAAAATGGAAAGATTAACCTAGGGTGAGTGATAACTAGCCGTTTCCATACACACTGATAGTATCAGTACCTGAAATCAATCCAATTTGAGTTGAGTAGTGGAGGGATCGTATTATGGCGGAGTGAAGATGCCGGACTCTGTGAATATTATTTAGTGGGAGGAGGAATCGTCCCCTGTTATAATGGTTGATGCTCTGTGGAGTACACACTTCGTTAGGGTTAGCAGCCTGAACCACTCGTCATATATTGAAACTAATAAAAAAAATTTCAAACTTTGAGAAAGACAGATGAACGTGCGTGTAATTAACCAAGCGTGGCCTTATGTTCTCTTGAATCCAATAGCTACACTGTTCCACTGCCGTACATGGTTACTCACGTACGATGGTCTGACCGCTCTAATGGTTGCATAAGGAATCCTAGGAAGAATCTCTATAAAAGACGGTAGAGGTCGAGCTTTGTGATTTAGATTGTTTTATGAGGGATGTTATTAGTTTTTGACACTAACTAAAGTGTTTCATAGTAATTTGGAATTTAATTGTTTGTATTGTGTTTTTTAAGATTTTTGACCCTCTGGGTTTTCTATTCACTATAGTTTCCCCAGGTGTTTAGCTAGCTAGAGTGTTCTCTCATAGTTTGTATTCTGTTTTTTAGATTTTTGACCCTTTGGGTCCCACCGCGTTGATGTATTCACTATAGCTTCCCTACTTAAAAATTAACTAGCTAGAGTGTTCTCTCGTAATTTGTATTGTGTTTTTTAGATTTTTGACCCTTTGGGTCCCACCGCGTTGATGTATTCACTATAGCTTCACTACATAAAAATTAACTACCTAGAGTGTTCTCTCGTAGTTTGGGTTAGTTAGTTTGGAGTCTGTAGTATTCAAATTATTTTGATTTTTTGTTTTGCACCACAAGGAGTGGTCATTGTTTCCAAGCTTTTCATCCGTTCTGAGCTCACCAAAAGAAGCCTAGACAATGCACCTGGCCGTCCCCTTGAAATGGAGAAAGTAATAGTGAAGTGAATAACTGTGCAAAATCTGACTCAGAGGGTCATCTAGTCTGCAGAATTGAGATACTTCTTAGTACGGTCAATAAACAGGAAATTTGACTTGATTGTAGTATTACCAACACATTATTCCCGGTTTGGGTAGACACTGTGATTATGCTATGTATAAGCATACATTTGTTACAGGACCTTAAACTCGAAATCAAATAAGAGCCCGAAGACCTTGTTTGTGCATTTTAATAGATCCAACAACTGTACAACAGCTAGAGTGCCCGATAACTTTGAGTGTTTTTCAACCAAACGATTGCCGTATAATACTCTTTAGCAATTACGATGCTCTAAGTCATGAAACTGAGTTTGAGGGCGCTGCTTAGTTTTCATGTGATTGGCTCTATACTCACAATCTCAAAAATTAAAAACAACAAACTCATGTTTCTTTGTGTGGATGGGTGTTTGAATATCAATTCCGATATATATTTGATTTGTTTACTTCACTTCTTTTATGTATGTTCTTTGTGCAATTTAAAAGAATGGGAGGGCTAGTTATCTCTCACTTAGGGCAAATTAGCACTCACCCTAGTATATGCGATTCTCTGATTGGTCGAACAACTTACCCTGATTGCTACTCATCCAAGTAACCTATCACCATGCATCTACCAAGCAAAGAAGAGCTAATTAGCGATAAGGGAGGGCTAATTAGACACTTTCTAAAAGAAATATTTTTTTGTATTTTTTCTTAAGAGTGTGTATATACAATTTTAAAATAAGTCGTATCTTGTATAATTCATTTTAATGCTAGTGATTCCATTGGGTTGAATGTGATTCCCAAGTAAAAAAAAGTATAGAAACTTGGAGAGATTACATACTAAACTATTTTCTACCGATAATCAGATTTTCCAAAGTTCATGGTTAGAATATTACATGTTCTCTCTATGTAGACTATGTAGTCCAACGAGATCTAGTCAATTTGGATGTCATTAATAGTAGATTGAAATATCCACAAAAAGTATATTCTATTGCTCACACTATCACAAATGTGAAGTGAAGATGAGCACACATCTCTGTTTGCTTTGAAATCAAATAAAAACACTGTAGGATTATGTAATATATTTTTGAATAAGCTCAAAGTATTTCTTATTTAGATGATAAACAAAATCATCATGTTTAATGAAAGTCTCAAATCTGTTGTTCACTTCGTCACATAGTAGTATTGGTCGTAATGATCTCATTAAAATATGTGTTAGAAACTTGCAGACACATAGACTATATTTTATTATAATAAGCATTTTAGTGTTATATTGACAAAAGCATAGGATACATGATTTATCTTCGTTATCTTATGGTTAGTAATATTTTTCTTCATATATGATAATTTTGCACGGGAGTTGATTTATCATTGTACATTGTGAAAATGAAGTAATGTGCTACTTTAGACATTTCCGTGTGATACAACTTCATTTTAGATCTAGAATCTAAATTTTTATATAATTTACATCAAGATATAAGTAACTAACATGTGATTTGACAAAGCTGTTAATAAATTCTCATTTAATCTCAAATACTATCACATCAATTATATTCTTGTCAAAAAATGAGTGTAAGATTGTTTATGAATTTAATTTAACATAACATTTTATGACTTATAAAACAGTTTTATTCAATGTTTGATTCAAGAATTCTTCAAGGTGAAGTCTTCATATGTAAAAACTCACCAAGGAAACTGAATTTGAATTCTTTTTTTTAATTAATGTAGTGTCAAATTTCGGTTTACACTTGCATTTTGTTGACTGAAGTTATAATTATTGTGTGTGCTAATTATTACGTACATCCATCATATATAAATATATTTAGAAAAATTTGTGTAAGCTCTATGTGAGACATTCAATTCAATACTCAAAATTCATTGCTTTACATTTTTGTTGAATCTAATCTTTACCCTTAGAATCAAAACAAAATATTGAAATCATTCATATTCACTTAATTTTATCTCATAAAAACTTATTTCATAAAATCAATATAGATAAAAATATTTTTATTATTATTCTATTTAATGCTACATTCACTTATAACAAGATCTCTTAACTTGAACCCTAATGCATGTCTTAGAAGGTTACATGTACCTCTGTTATAACACATAGACTAAGTAGTCGAACTAATTTAACTCCACTAATAACTAATTATCCTCTAACAATTTCGATCGATAAATTAGTACTAAATGACACAAAAAGTACACCTTTTGCTTTAAAGTGCAAAGTTTGTGCGTAATTTATATAGGCCACTCCAAAATAGCTTGAATTTCGCTACAACAATAAAAAAAATAACGTCTCAATGACTATCATCGTTTTGATAATAGTAGCATCTTGAAGCAATACTTGATTAGATGGAAGAGGAGCTCTTACACAAGCTCTCAAGCATCCTCGGTTGTGATTTCACAACAAAATCTATGTAAAAAAGGATATTTTTTCTACTCTTACTAAAATGTGCATGAGATATACATCAACGTCTCATACTTGAGCTATTCTTACAAACCCTCAAATTAACATCATGGCGGTTATTTTTTATTGATAATTAAACTTGACATGGAAGAGATAAAAAAGAACCTATTTGACTTACTATTCTTATCACTCTGAATGGCTCAACGA